CACCATTTTACACCAACAATAGGGTCTTGTTACCATTTCGCTGGTGAGTGATTCAATTCCGGAATCCTAATCCAAGAGTCTGCTTCCTGGGACCACTTCCAGCACATGCTGTCTTAGGTTGGGTTCTCCCCAAATCAGACCCTGACACAAGGATTTGAATGCAAGTAGTTTATTTGCAAGGGGATTCCAGGAAGCACTGGTAGAGACACAGAAGATAGAAAGCCAATAAAGTGTATATTATCAAGCAGGTGGGGCACTGGGGCTTAATCCCACCAGGAAACTGGGAAACATTCCTCAGAGTTACTCGTTGCCCTGAAGGAAGTTAGTGTATTTATCCACCTGCACCTCATCTGTCATTGCTTCAGGGTTGCTCTTGGGGGCATCGACTGGCTGGCAGCCCAAAACAGCTCTTAGCAGAGAAGAACGTGTGTTCATATAAGTAGCCATTGGCATTTAGAGGTGAGTGCCAAGGAGAGAGGGGCCAGGCATTGTCAGCTTCTGCCACAACCTTGTACCACAGAACTGAACTAAGGATTAACTCCCCACCACCTGTGGTAGCAGCAGTGCCAAAAAAAAAAAAGAAAAGAAAAGAAAAAAAAAGAAAAAAAAATCCAGGGCAGACCCAGCCCAAATAGGGGTGGTGCTTAGAAAGTCCCTTGGGGAAAGAGACATGGCCGAGGCTGCAAGATCTTGGTGCTGGCGCCACTGGGTGAGCACAGTGTTCAGGAACCGAGGTTCGAGCTGAGAGCTAGGAGGCTCGCCAGGCCAGTGCCCGCAGGGAGCTTCCTACTGGGATGCAGGAGGAAGGTTACCCTTCAGGTAACAGTGCCTTACCCCAGCTAAGAAGATCCCCTAAACTGTGACTCTTTGGGTGAGAATTTCAGGCTCACACGGTAGAAAAGTTATTCTGAGATGAGTTTTGTGTTTTTTTTGTGGGACCCCTCAAATTATATTGAAAATAGTAAACAGCACCGGTTTGCATTTGTATGGGATTTTCAGAGCACGTTCACGTTCAGGTGAGCCTCATAACAACACAATGAAGACAGATGAGGGTGGGACTATTGTCCTCATTTTACAGACGAGAAAACTGAGACTCGGAGACTAGCTCAAAGGTCACCACGCTGGGTAGCAGTGGAGGAGAGGCTCAGTCTCAGATCTTCTGAAACTCTGTCACTGAGTGCTTGCTCCTAGGTCAGCATTTCTCATAACCTGTCTCTCCCTTTAGCTGTACAAGGGCACCTGGGTGGGAGGCACCTATCTGGTTTATTCCGGTATTGTCAGTGCTAGCATCTTCTGAGTGCTTGATATCTGTTTGCCAAGCAAATGAATTTTAACCCCCCCCCCCCAGAAGACTTGGGAAATCGCATAGCAGCCTCCGTCCCCTCTCCTTTTTTCTGTTTCTCCTCCCAGCTACACTTGCATGCAACACACATGTGCGTGCACCACCCCCAAACACAGAAATGCACATACACACCTCTCTCTCCACGTTTCTCTGACCTCTCACTCTCTGTGTCCTTCTGCCTCTGTCTGTCTGTCTGTCTGTCTCATGCACACCCCACCCCCAACCCCGCATGCTACACTCTTTCCTCTTGGAAATCCTCAACACAGGGGAGAACCTGAGAAGTCTAAGGAATGACAGGGGCCCAGAGGAACCCTAACAATTTATTAAGAGACCCAAATGCTCTCTGGGGCCGGCTTTAGAGTTAAAAGGTGAAATCTTGACTAACTCCTGACAACCTTAGAACTGTCCTACTCTCCAGCCCAGTTCCTCTCTCCCGCGTCAGCCCTCCGCGGAAGAGGACGGCCGTTCGCTGGGCGCGCAGTGACGGCCTAGAGCCACCAGGGGGAGCCAGCGGCGCGGGGAGCCGGGTTTAAGAGCGCGGCCGGCAGCCGGAAGGACCCCCAGAGGCTCAACTGAACCCGCAAACCCGTTCTGGGCCGAGCGCCCGCGTGCGGGCCGGAGGAGGTCCCCCGGGAGCAGCACAGAGACAGCATGGGAAAAACCAGATGTGTAGAGTGAAACAAAGGAGAGATGACATTTTAATGTATCATATTTACTATACAAAAATAAATGGGTGGAAGACTTTCATCCTTTACACTATTCCGATTGTTTGGGGGAACAAGTATATACTATTTTCATGATTAAGAGGGAATAAACATATATTTCAAACAAATGGGAAAATAAAGCAAGCTGTGAGCAAAACGATAGGAAAATCCTGAAGTTACTCTGGAGTTCTGGGGAAAATCAGTGTCGTTCCCGGAATTTTGCTTGGTGATGATGCAGCCCCCAGCCCCCACTTCCGCAGGCACATCCATCGCTTCCCCCTTCTTTGCTCAGTCTCTTAGGGGTTTTAATTGCCTGTTGAGTACACTATCCGTAGCCTGAAATTTAATAGAAATGAATTAATAGCAGGTAGTGTCAATATTTTGCGATGATTCTTGACTGCAGTTGTTAAGGTACCATTTCCACTCCTTGATGAAGATAACCCCTTAAATGACTAGGGCCATTAATGAGCCATAAGTTTAATTGTTAGCACTTCATTAGAAACCATAGTAAAACTATTTCAGTTGCTTCTTGGAATCCTCTATTTAGAGAATGTGTTTTGTATGTCCTAGGAGGCACAGCTATAAAGCAATGAGAATGATTTTAATTAAACATCTTAGACCTCATATATCTAATTGACACTTTTCCTGCAAACCACGGGAACCGACATGATTATTACAGGCAAACCCAAAGCATTTGGCTTAGGAAATTGCCCCTTGAGTCCATTTAGGAAAAATTAAAAAAAAAAAAATCAATTTATGTCATGCCACTTTGGGACTTCAAATGTTATTAGCTATATTAAAATGTGTTTTACGCATTTGAATTTAGCTGCGGGTGATGCAAAACTCTTCTGGAAATTAATCTACTCTCAGAGGATGAAGACTTACCACCTCCATTTGAGGCTATGGTGACAGGAGGAGAGAGGAACAAACAGCAGCTGGCTGTGGTTTTAGGCACTGGATCTTTCTGTTTGATGGGAGACGAGCTTGGATGCCCTATCTGTCTTTGTTGGATGCCCTCTTAGCTCCCTTGGTCCCTGCAGAGCTGATGTGGGGTAGGTCTATGTTCACCCTCCACATGTCCCAAGGCTAGGTCTGCACCGTGGGGAATTGGACCTTGCACCTTCCTAAAGCTGCCTGACCTTTTGCATATCACAAATAGATAGAAAGGGCTAATATTTGTATTTAAAAAACTAGAAGTGAAAGGCATTTGGAGACATCTATTGGGGGTTGAAAAAATTCATTACATTTTCCTTATGTAATAGTAGGTATTGAATTTGTATGAAACTTCCAAATAAAATCTTTTAACATTTTTAATGAGAAGCTTGAGTTCGCTTCCATGATCATTTTCATATTAGAGTATATGTTATAAAATGACACCTTGCAGCAAGACCTCAAGATTTTTTAATGATGAGCTTGTCAAAGTTTTGACAGTCACCGCCACTTTGCATTGGAAGGTCATACAATTTTTAAGACCAGTTTTACAACCATTAAAAAATGTACAACATTTGAAATTATAGCAAAAGAGAACTCAATTGTTCTTCCTCTTGTTTCAGTGACAATGGGAATGTTGGCATTTCCTGTGATAAGGGAAACAGATTTTGGATCCAATGGAATGTTTTCAGATTATTTCAGAACAAGGGGCTCTAATTTGCAGACGGCAGGTGCATCATTAGAGTGCTTACCTTGCAGTAAATAGCCAGAAGTATCCTGGGTATATGAAGACAGAGATTAGGGAGCCTGAAGGCCAGGAACCTTGCCAAGGCTTCCTGTTGTCTCATTCTCCATTGGTCACAACTTGGGTCCCTGGAGTCGACTCCTCTGGCAGCTGCCTAGACTCCTTATCCAGACAGGCAGTGCTGCCCTCTGCAGCTGGTGGAGCTGCCCAGGTTGTGGGGGTTGGGGGGGCCTCCTTTACTGCCCCCAATCCCATGCGGAGCAACCAACACTAACTTTGATGCCCCAGGCTCTCAGGCCACCAGGAGGCATTAGGAGATCAGGGTCTTGGGGTACACCAATAACCCAGTGGAGCACCCCACTGTGCAAGGTACAATGCATGGCTGGAAGCTGTCTTCTAGTTTGGGCCCAAGGAGTCTTCTCCACTCACATATCACTCAACCAGCTCCTCAGGGAGAGGAGCAGAAGGCAGGCTTGAGAAGGAGCCACAGCTCCTTGGGCATCAGGTGCCCTCAGCTGACTTTGCACCTGGGGCCATGCTGTCTTGGTGCTCACTGGGGTTAGCCACAGCTACAGGAAGTAGAAGCTTAGCGTTCCTGTTTTAGGGTATCTGCTACTACTGAGATGTGACCAACAACCTCTTTGCTAGTCAGAGTGGAATATCTAAGAGTTGTTCCAGATGTCGTTGGAACAATTGTGTTACTGGAATAGCTGCACACTCACCCAAGGTGACCACTTTCAAAGAATGGCGTGCACTTGAATATCAAAGTTCTCTTGTTGGAATAACTTGCCTCGTCCTATCCTTATACACATTGCTCTTTTATCTACAGTTGGACAATGCTGCTGAATTTCAAAAGCACTAGCTTAATGCTTAGGTGAGTCAGCATATTAGTTTTGTGAACTAACTTCTGAGGCTTCTTCTAAGGTCAATCAGTTGTAGCTTCATACCTCTCATTTGTTTGCACCCTCCTCCTGCCACACACACACTGTGTAACAAGTTACCCCAAAACTTAGCAGCTTAAGTAGCAAATATTATCTCATAGTTTTCTCAATATTAGTATCTCATAATTTCTGTGGGTCAGGAATCCCAGTGTGGCCCAGCTTGGGGGGTGGGGGGTCTCTGACTCAAGAGATTGTAGCCAGGCTTTCGAGGGGTGGGGTGGGGAGGGGACAGAGGTGTGCTGCAGTCCCATCTGAAGACTCAATAGAAGGAGGATCGTCTTCTAAGCTCACTCGCATGGCTGTGGGCAGGATGTAGTTCTTTGTGGGATATCGGACTGAAAACCTCAGTTCTTGGCTAATTTTTGGCTGGAGGCTTCGCTCCGTTCCTTGCCTCATGAGTCTTTTCTTTTTTTTTTTCCAGGTACTTGGTCACTGTGCAACACAAAGCGCGGGCAGAGTCACCACCCTGCCCCATGAGTCTTTCCACAGGGCAGCCTACCCCACGGCAGCTGGCTTGCCTCAGAGTTAAGCAAGTAAGAGAGAAGAAAAAGTCCCCAAGATGAAAGCTACTAGGTTTGTAACCTAATCTTTTGAGTGGTATTCTATGGATTCTGTCATAGTCTATTTCCTACAAACATGTCAGTAAGTCCGGCCCATATTCAAGGGGAGGAAACTTCACAAGGCCCTGAGTACCAGGAGGCGAGGGTCATTACTGGCCATCGTGGAAGCCACCCATCCACCTCCCCACACACCCACACTTGTTCTCTTTCTCTGAGGCTTTATCTAGATTATGAGCTGTTTTCCCATCCCTCTAGGATAGGAGCATGGCTTGATGCTCATTAGCATCTCCTTCATATTCACTGAGTCACTCCTTCATTAAACATGTATATATTGAGGTGTATGATCTGCCACATTCCATGCTAGGCACTGGGGAGCCAACAAGAAACAGGCACCGTATGTATGCACAGAACTTCTTTTCTTCTGAGCTCTTGCCTGGAACCCTGTGGCTGCTGCAGTCCTCTCAGTGGCCAGCTAGTGCGTGGGTGACCCATGAGCAGGGCCAGGCCAGACACACCATGCCACCTGTCTGCGCCACCCCTGCCTTCTGTTAGCTACCTCTTGCTGGACCTCCTCCTGATTCTGCCTCCCTCTGAGGCACGTGCTCGCCCCACCAGTCTGGTCAACTCCTCTCTTTCTAGCAGCCAAACCCTGTTTCTCCATCCTGAGTTCAGCTCATCCTACTCCCTTCTGAATGATGGAACCTCTCCACGCCTCAGTTTCCTTACAAGTAATGACTTGGATAGTAAACTGAGATAATACAGGAAAGCACTTAGAACAGTGGCTGGCAATAGTAAACACTTAAAATCTATCCTTCTCCATATGGTTATTATTCTGTAGACCTGTTCAGGCAGCTACAAAATTAGTCACACTATCACAGAATCATCCCCATGTGGTTGTATGAATGGGAACATGAATAAAAACTTTGTTTCCCTTAACTTAATCACCATTGTGAAGGCCTTTTCCTAAAATCACATCTGATTTCATTATGGAAAACTACACTTTTTCTCACCCACACTGGTTCTTTCTCTCAAAGGTCCCTGCCTGGCCCCATTAACCTGCTGAGTGAAAAAGCTGTTGGGCGACCAAGGTGGTCAGGAGCTGCACTCCCCTGCCCCCGTTCTCCCATAATACCTGGCTGTAGCCCATTTTCATCCTCTGCGATGGCAGAGGCACCCCTTCCCCCACTGTAGCACCCCCTGGCTGCAGGGTGCTGCAGGCAGGAGGATTTGGTCCTAGATTTTGTCTTCCAGCCCGCTGGGGTAGCCTGTCCATAGTGCTACATCGTAAACTAGCTGTTTGGAAAAGACTGCACAAAAGCCACCCACTGTGCTGACATTGGGTTCCCCCTGCTCCAGTTGCTTATGATCTTTAAGGAAGGAAGAGTTCCCTGGAAGGAATTGTTGAGCCCTGTCCCACCCCACCTCCTGAGTTTCAGCAGAGATCACACAAGTAGCTAAACTTAGATCAGTGCCTCTCTCCACCTTGCTTTCCTCTCGCAAGGCAGGTGTTGCATGGATATCCCTGAACTTGCCCTCTCTCTGTCACTGCTGTCCCAGCTGTGTCCCTAACTGCTGAGAATTAGGGTCGGGCCTCCTGGCTCACTTCTTGTGGTGCAAATGAGTGTTTGTGTTCTCCTCTTAGCCCCCATGTGTGGCCTGATGAATGAATAGTGAAGGAAGTTGGAGTGCTTCCTGCTGACCACTGGCAGAGAGGAGGGGTGTGTGAGACACAGCCTGGGGCAAACCAAGAATGTTGCTCTATGAAACACAGAGGTCTACAGCTCTCTCATTAATAGGTGGGCTTCCAGGAGGGCTTTCTCCCCTGATCTGGGTACAGCTGCCTCCCCTTTCCTGATATTCCCCTCTCATCCTTCCCTTCTTTCCCTTCCCCTTCCATCCCCCTCCCCCATTGTCATTTCTCCTCTGAGCTTGTCTCCTCTTTGCTGGCTTCACCTCCTCACCTGGATCCCCTGTTTGAGAAGAAGCATCCTCCCATATTGCAGGTGCTCTTGTCTTCCTTCTCCCATCCCACAAACTCCTCCTTCCTGGAATTCTTGCCACTCTGCTGCCATTGTGGTAGTGGATGAGGGGCAGTGGAAGGTAGATCCTCCATCCTCATGCCAGGTAGGTTAACAGAGCTTCTGTGAATAGGAGTGATAAGCATTGAGAAGTGGAATGCATAGGTTTTTCTTTACTGGAAGAGGGTTCCTGGCTTTAGGGTAGAGGTACGTGGTGTGGCATTGTAGATGCCTTTCAGTTCCCTCCTCATCTCCTACCTTCTTCTACATCCAGCTTCCTGGCTCCTATGAAAGACATGTCATCTCCACCTGGATCTTTAAGACTGTCTGACAGATGTGTGGTTGAGGACTGGAAGTTATCAGTCAAGAAATTCTCAAATATATAAAGAACTCCTACAATTCAACAACAAAAAGACAAACAACCTAGTCAAAAAAATAAGAAAATGACTTGAATAGATATTTTTCCAAAGAAGGTACACAGATGGCCATTAAGCACATGAAAAGATGCTCAACATGATTAGTCATTAAGGAAATACAAATTGAAACCATATGAGATACCATTTCATACCCATTAGGATAACCCTACCCCATTAGGATGGCTGTTATCAACAACTCAAAAATAACAAATGTTGTTAAGGATGTGAAGAAATCAGAACTCTTGTACATTGCTGATGAGAATGTAAAATGGTACAGCCACTATGAAAAGCAATTTGGCAACTCCTTAAAAAGCTAAACATAGAATTATCATATGACCGAGAAATTCCACTTTGGGCTGGCTTCGTGGGTGGAAATTGAAAACAGGAACTCAAATAGATACTTGTATGCCAATGTGAATTGCAACATTATCTGCAATAGCCAAAAAGTGGAAACAACCCAAATGTCCATCAACAGATGAACAGATGAACAAAATGTGGTATAGCATACAATGGAATATTGTGTGGTATAGCATGCAATGGGAAATGGATAGCGGTGCTGGTTGCACAACATTGTGAATGTAATTGATGCTACTGAATATACACTTAAAAATGGTTAAAATGATAAAAATTTACGTTATTTATATTTGATCATAATAAAAAAAGTCAAAACAAAAAGAAAAAAAAAGAAAGTTCCAAAAGGCAGGTATGTGAACATAGGCTTTGCAAGTGGAGGGGCCAGAGGTTGAGTTTTGTGGGCGATTTATTAAGTGGACAAGTCATGGACAAAGATAGATATTTTTCCAAAGAAGATACACAGATGGCCATTAAGCACATGAAAAGATGCTCAACATGATTAGTCATTAAGGAAATACAAATCAAAACCATTATGAGATACCATTTGGGCAAGTCATGGACAAAGCTACATTCCTCCTGGAGTCTTGCTTTTCTCACCTAAGAAAGTAGGATTGTTGCTGCAGTGTGTACAGCTAGCGTTACAGCTCTTGGTACAGCTCTTATTCATTTGACCGGGGAAAGAACCGAGCAGCACACGAAGAGTCGGAGAACAGCCTTTATTCTTCTACAGCAGACTCAGCACACCTAGTGTTCGTGTCTTCCGATGTTCTCCTGATGTTCTCCCCTTCCTGCCCTTCTGCCCCTGCTTTTATACCCTTGGTAGGGCTCAAGAAGCATCCAATCAACTACAGGCTTTATCATCCAATCAGCAACAGGCTTTAACATCCAATCAACAACAAGCTTTAACATCCAATCAACAGTGGGATTCAAAAATCACCCAATCAGGATCACACAAACAGTGTGGCCAGAAAGAGGCCCCAGCACGTGGACCTGGGGCATTCCAGCACTCAGGGTCCAGGCGGCATGGGGGTGTCCGGGGAGGCTTGGTGCCTCGGGGCCTGGCCCCGGCAGCGTGCCTCTAACCAGCCATGCGCAGCACTGGCTCCCGAAGATGCGGAACTACGGGGAGGTGGCAAGCGGCCGCGTCCCGGCGCCCATTTTCCGCATCAGGATGAAGTATGTGAGAGCATGAGCTCCGGACTCTCTGGGTCCAATTCCCACTTTGACTCTGCGTGTGTGAGCTTGGGGGAGTTACTGAGCCCGCTTGCTCTGTTTTCCTCACCTACAACGTGGAAACAATACAACTTACCTCATCAGGTCTTTGTTAGGATTGGATGAATTATAATATTTTGTGTAAAGTTCTTAAAATAGTGCCTGACACATAGAAAGTGCTCAATAAACATTAGCTGCAAATTAGAAGGGTACAGGTGGCGGGGGATTGATTTAGAGATCATAAACGATGAGGAGATTATTTTTTAAATTAAAAACACTAAAATATTAAAAGAAATACTTTCCATGCACACTAGCATTATAATAGCTTTATTCTCCCTAAATCTTTAGATTTTGAAAATTCCAGATAAGTTTATTGAAACATAAATTTTCTTTCTCTTTCTTTCTTGATGCTCCTGCTATGCTAGTGCCCTAAACATTTTTTAAGTTTGCCTAAGTGGTAGTTTACACTGGCTGTGGAGAGTGAGATAAAAAATTAATACCTACCTGAAGAAGCAGTTTTGAGGTGTAAGATGGATAAACTCCCGTTCATGGCACACAATGTTCCTCAGTCCCATGAGACCCAGTGCCCCGTTCTGATTGCAGGTGCTTGTTCACAGCCTGCAGCAGGCAGAATTCCGAGGCGGCCCTGAGATCTAGGTACCCGCCGGTGGAATCCCGTTCCCTGTGTGGAGGCAGGGCCAGTGAATCTGACGAGGCACAGTACCACTCCCATTCCCGTGGTCGTGGTCCTCATCAGTGGGCTGTGAGGATGCTGAGTGGGTCTGACTGTTGGAAGAAGGTGAAGTATTAGATGTTTTCCTCCAGCGGGGACAAAACAAACTGCCTCCTTGGAAGGGGGCCTGTGGAAGGAGCAGCCTGGCAAGGATGTGAGGGCAGCTTCTAATGCTGACGGCAGCCCCGGGCCACAGCCAGCAAGGACACAGGCACCTCAGTCCTACAGCCACAGGGAACTGAATGCCGCCAATGAACTGAATGAGCTTGGAAGAAGATCTTTTCCTAGTCGACTCTTCTGAAGAGGATAGGATATAGCCAGTCAACACTTTAATTTTAGCCTTATTGATGCAGAAAATGTTGGGCGCAGGGACAGGGCCACTTGCCGCCTCCCTGTAGCTCCACATCTCCGTGGGCCAGCACTGTGCGTGGCCAGTTGGAGGTCGCTGCTGGGGCCAGGCCCTGCGGCAGAGAGCCACCTGGGCCCATGCCGCCAGGACCCTGCTAGGAGAATGCCCCCAGGCCCACATGCCACTGCCTGTTTCCCGCCAAGCTGTTTGCGTGATCCTGATTGGGTAATTTTTGAATCCCACTGTTTTTGATTGGATGTTAAAGTTTGTTGTTGATTGGATGTTAAAGCTTGTTGTTGATTGGATGCTTTCTGAGCCCTACCAAGGGTATAAAAGCAGGAGGAGAACAAGGAAGGGGGAGCAGAAAGGGCAGAAGGGTCAGAACATCGGATGCTGTGGAAGAATAAAGACTGTCTCCGACTCTTTGTGTGCCACTTGATTCTTTCCCCGCTCAAGAGTTGTAATGCTAGCTGTACACGTTGCTGCAACATTATGACATCCTGAGCAGAGGACTCAGCAGAAGCTGTGCTGAGCGCCTGCCCATGGGAACTGGAGGTGATGAATTTGTGTGGTTTTAAGCTACTAAGTTAGCGGTAATTTGTTATGCAGCAACAGAAAATTAATACTCCCTTTTCCATCTTGAAATAAAATTCAAGATGGAATTTGATAATGGAACCTAGGTGGATAGATAATGGGACCTACTTAACACACATACTTTTAAAATAGCAATTGTCTTTGTCCATTTGTGTCACTATGAAGGAATACCTGAAGTTGGGCAATTTGCAAAGAACGAGGTTTCTGTGGTCCACGGTTCTGCAGGTTGTACAAGGAGCCTGGCACCAGCATCTGCCTCTGGTGAGGGCCTCAGGCGGAAAGCAAAGGGGAGCCAGCACGTGCAGATCGTTCGGTGAGAGGGGAAGCAGGAGAGAGAGGGGAAGGCGCCGGCTCTTTTTAACAACTGGCTCTTGGGGTTAACTCTCATGAGAACTAACTGAGCGAGAATTCACTTATTACTGTGAAGACAGCAAGAAGTTCATGAAGGATCCCCCCCATGACCCAAACACCTTCCATCAGGCCCCACCTCCAACATTGGGGATGAAATTTCAACGTGAGACTTGGCCATATCCCAGGTCAAGACAAACCGTATCCCAACCATAGTAGCCATGTAATGTCCTAACTAAAAGAAGTAAAAGGAGAGTCATTTCTAAGAGGATTAATATATATATTTCAATAAGTAAATGCCCAGGCACAATCAAGCTAGAAGACATATGAAGGAATCAGGTGTTTGCACCTGGATATAGAACCACTGTGAGCGTTATAGGTACACATGCTGACCAATCAGGATCTCAATCTCTGTATGTGATTTTTTTTCCAAAATAATGAATAATTGCTGGTAAAATTCTATACAAAACCAAGTACAACCTTCTGTCCATTCATATACTAGTTACATTCTCCAAAATGCCATTGTATATTAAAATTTTGCAAAAACATTTTGTGCATTGAGCATAGTTACATGCATATAACTATAAACAGATCTCTCATTTACATGATTATCTAGTTGTGACATATGTAAGTCATCCAGGATGCAGGAAAACTCTTGTTTGGAACAGGATCCCATCCACTAAAGGCCAGGAGTCCCCTTCCCTGTCACAGTAAAATTCAAAGTTCTCCCCTAAATTTCCAAAATGACCCCCAGGGGCTGGTGGTGCTGGCCAGAACAGTGTGACATTCAAGTGCTATTAATACTTTTGGTGGCCACCCCCCACCCATGCTCTCCTTTGTCTTTTGGGGTTGTTATATTGAGAAGAGATACATTGTTAAACATTTAAGATGCTTCCACCATAGTTTTTTGGGTTTTTTAAACTTGTTTGTCAAGATGACAATATTAATAATGAAATTAAAAATCCGCAAATCCCTAAGTGGCGATGGCAAAAAACAAAGCACTGCAGTGTCCCCTTGCCTTGCGTTCGGGCAGTTTCCCAGCAGAGAAGTGTGTGGAGGCGAAGCTCGGGTCCACGGGGCACACGGGAGCTCTGGGGGCAGGAGGAAGCCCCAGGCC